CACATATATTCGACTTTTGTGACTGTACCAAAGACAGCTGTTAGACTTCCAAATTAAAATAGTGGTCCATTTGAAATTTGAGAACATGCGCGCCGGACCACAGCACTCCAAATGAGCCAAAATAAAGGGGTGGAAATTTTAACCAAGCTATCATCAAAAATGGCTCTACATTTCCAGACAGAGGAGCTTGCGGGGAAATCAAAAAGCGGTCTCTCAAATGCGAGTCTCGGCGGCCAACCAAGACTTCAGCGCTCCCCAAGCAGTGAGTGAGCCGCAGAACCCCACAGCCTGGTCGCCGGTTATGCTTGGGGGGGGGGGGGGGGGGCTGATTATGGCGGAAAGTTGTTTGCGAGAGGGAAAGACAACGGCGAAACCAGTGCCCGAAGTGGATTTGGAGCCGTCTGTGTGGGCATGGGTAGTGGAGGAGTGACTAGAGCTATGTGCAAGGAAATGTGTGAGGAGGACAGAATATCCGACTTGGGAGGGTCTGGGAAAATAGAAGAGCAATAACAGGAGGAAGGTATTGGCCAGGGAGGGAAGGAGTGGGCAGAAGGAGGAACGGGTCAGAGATGAGGAATGGATGGAGGGAAAGCAGCGTCCACGCCATCCGGGAAGAGGCAGGAGGAAGCCAATGGGAGCGGGTGCAGAGTTCCAGCCGCCCAATGCCCTCGGGTTAAAGGGCCTGTAACTTGGCCTCAAGTCCTCGATTGGACATTTTGAGCGCGCGCTCCTATTCCTTTTCTGTCCTCTGTGGTCCCCCAGTTGGCAGCGCCTTTGGAATCCCAGGACACGACTCCCCACAGAATAGATGGAACCTTAGCCCCGTGTGATAACCCTTCGGAAGGAGCTCCGGCGCCCTGAGGAGACAGACACCCTTCTCCGGCCACTTACAGAGAGTCTTGTTCACCAGTTCGCCACTGTACTTGACCGCCATGCGCTTGAGGTGGAAGGACTTGAGGCCGAGCTTCTTCCAGCCGTGGTACACCGACAGGAACTTGAGCAGACGCACCATGTCACGCACCGCGGCTAAAGACGGAAGGGGGGAGGAACGGGAGCAGTTAAATCCACATGCACTAACTGTTGGGTCACGTGCGTTTGTGTGAGGAAAGAGGCACCGAAAGAGAAATTACAGACAGTTGAATATATGGAAATATATAGAAACATAAGACATAGATGCGGAGGACACTTACGGTTGGCTCGCAGGAAGTTCTTCTCGAGCATCCCGAAGGCAATGTTGCACAGGCGGTCGCCGTTGCTGTGGTTCCCTGGCGCCGCGGGGCTGAAGCACAAGACGGGCGAGCAGTTGCGGACGAGCGTGTCCACGTGCTCCCGCAGCGTCGCCGGCAGGCTGCTCAGCGGCACGAGATCCGGGCACGGCCCCCAACTCCGCGCTGGCGAGAACATGGAAACTTGTAGGTAAAGCTGCAAAATTCTAACGGCGTAAATTCCACTTAATGCCTCTTAGTGGAGACGTCACGCCCTCTCTCAACTCACCCGCGATAACAGGGACGAGGTCCATGGAGATGGTGCCCCACTGCGTCGTGATCTCCACCAGCAGAGCCATAAGCTTCGGCATCGAAAACACCGACGTATTGGGAACACGCACCTCCCTCACGCAATTGCCCAGCCTGGAACGGACACGCGATTTAGAGCCCTCTAGTGATGAATCTGTTTCTTGTCAGTATCATGTCTATTAGATCTTTCAGTGAAGGACTGCAATTATTAAGCTGTTAAGCTCTTATTGCTTTTTAATTCGCATCACTGATCCCATATGACGAAAGTCGGTCAGTCTCAAGCTCTCTGCGTGTCGTCGTTGGGAATTATCAAAAAAGGTGCCCTGTCTTATGCACACATAGGTTACTATATAAAAATGTACATCACACACTACATCATAAAAAACACCACATCAATACTTCTAAAAACAAACACAAATCACGCGCTTCCTACGAAAAGTACCACACCGCCTCACGCCTCCAGAAGGGCAGCCCCGCGGAGGAAGGAAGCAACTCACGCGCCGAACAGTTGCTGCTGGAGGGCCTTGGCGTCGAGGAATCCAGCCTCGTCGTACAGATGGCGGTTGCTGTAGCGCCACTTCAGGGCGAAGAAGCCGCTCCTGTCGCGCGTCACCTGTGGTTCGGGACGGAAGGGGTTAGCGGCTCTTCTGGGCAATGCTTTGGAGGAACACGGACGGAAGGGGAGAATAAATATAACCACAAAGAAAGGAAAATCGCAAGAAAGGTCAGCAAGAGACAATTCAGGGCGCTTATTAGATATTAGATGTAAATGTAAAATACATTTCTCTATTACATTATCTTGAATTCAAAGCAAAAGCAATACGATTTTAAATTTTACCTATACACACACACACACGTATGTGTGTGTGTGTGTGTGTGTGTGTGTGTGTGTGTGTGTGTGTGTGTGTGTGTGTGTGTGTGTGTGTGTGTGTGTGTGTGTGTGTGTGTGTGTGTGTGTGTGTGTGTGTGTGTGTGTGTGTGTGTGTGTGTGTGTGTGTGTGTGTACACACACCCATATATGTATATGTATACGAGATCAAAGTGTGCCTTGCTCTTGGGCGGCAGCCAATTGACTCCTGAGCTGCATCAGGAATGTAGCATTGCAGAGGCTGCGAGCTATTAGACAAGGCCTGCGGGCACGTTCTCGCTCCCTCAGTCGGCCGGGGGAAGCAGCCACGGGTGCGAGTCAACAGACCTCTGCACAGCAATTTGAGACATGAAGCCAAATGCTAGCTTCACCATGAAGACCATTATATACTCCTCGATAACGAATCCTGGAGACTGATGCCTACTGGCCATGGCCACACTGATCGAGCTCCTGCCGATCTCCTCAACCCCTCCGTTCCCTCGGCCGCAGTGGCAGTGGGCAATCCTGCCGCAGAGGACGGACGCCTCGATCTCGGGCAGCCATTAAGGCTGAACAAAGAGGCACAAGGCAGACAAGGAGGAGCCCTCTGCGAATTAAGGAAAAGCGCTGCAGGCCGTTTACCTCGAAGTTCTTGGCGACGAAGGGATCCCCGAGGACCACCGTGATGTCGAAGTCAGTGTCCTTCGTGACGCAGAGGCTTTCGTAGGCGCTGCCGCCGTGCAAGACCGTGGCGCCGCGCAGCAGGCTGTGGCCCGAGAAGGTCGCCTGCAGTAGGTCCGCGAACTCCTTCACGATCTGGCAGAGGGAGCGACAGGGACATGAGCGAGACAGGAAGAGCTGAGCGAGAAAGAATGGGCGCAGGGAAGAATACCCGTAAAGATAAA